CAGGCTTCGTGCCTATTTATCAGGTTTCGTGCCCCTCCCACCCCTCCAGGGACGGTCTTACAATCAACCAGACCAAGACACAGGCATGGTCCGCGGGGGGGCGCGGCCACTTGCCCGCCACAGTCCAGGAGCGCTGGGTCGACCACCTCACGCGTTTGGGAAACGCCGCCCCCTGGCTTGAGCAGGGGGGGAGGGAGGAGGAGGAGGAGGAAGAAAGGGCGACTGTCCACGCCGGCTGGGACGGAGCCACGGCCGTGGCCAAGGCAACGGCGTTTGCCGCCCGCCCGCCTACAAGAGCTGCGACAGGCGGGCCTGCGGGCCGAGAGCGCCTTCACTCTGCTGCAGACCTTCACTCTGCTGCAGACCTCCGCGCCAACCTTCAGGGGGACTGGACAGAGCAGCTGGACCGCGTGTTTTTCGGCTACCTGGAGGAGCTCGCCGGCGGAACCTTGGACCCCCAACAGCGGCTCCTGGCCACGCTGCGCCTTGCCGACGGCGGATGCGCGTTCCCCTCGGCTACACAGACGGCGCCCGCTGCTTACGCTGCTAGCTGGGCCCTCCTGCTTCACGACGTTATGGACTGCCTCGGAGCCAGCTCGCTAGAGGAATTCCGAGCCCGCTGCCCGCGGACGAAGCAGACGCTCGACCAGGCGGAGGCATCTCCAAGCAGCAGACGCCCTCCAGGCGCCTTTCGACTGGATAGGCTGCACAGGAGAACCACAACCCGAGCTGCATAACTACTGGGGCAACAAGGCCTCCGCGGCCGACAAGGAAAAGCTGCTGCGGACGCTCGACGAAGACCGCCACTTACGCTTGCGGGAGAACGGAGGCACGGGCGCCGGCAGCTGGCTCCTCCCGCGCCAGCCAGACGACCTCCGCCAGCCCGGCCCGCGTTTCTGCGGCAACCTGAAGCGGCGCCTCTGCATCCCGGTCTGCCCGCCTGCCTCCCGCTAAGAGCACCGCCGCCAGGACGGCAGGCTGTGCAACGCGCTCCAGGACCCGCACGGCTGGCACGCAGTCAAATGCGAAGTGGGCGAGTCCCGCAACAAACGCCACAACAGGTGCCGCGACTGGCACTCTGCGAAGCACGCCGAGCTCACTGGCTTCGCCGCGCCCACGGAGCAATCCGCTCCCGCCTGGGACCGCCGACACCCCCGCACGGGGGTGCTCCAGCAAGCGGTTCTGGACCTCTCCACCAACGACCCAGCCACTGGACGCCACGTCTACGTCATGACTGGAGCCTCACCTGCGTACACTCCGCTCCACGCAAGGGTGCCCGGGCCGACAAGGATGGTTTGGCGGCCGCCCAGGCGGTGGACAACAAGCGGGAGCGGTACCCCCCGCACGGGGGCGAGCTGGTTCCCCTAGTCTTTGAGACGGGGGGCCGGCCCAGCGACGAAGCAGTCAGTTCGTCCGCAACTACGGAGCCAGTCTCGACGACGGCGAGCGCTCCGAGCTGCTGGGCGGACTCTGGCGGTAGATCAGCCGAACCCTCCAAAGGGGTAACGCCGAGATGCTGCTGAAAGGCACTAGGGCGCTGAAGCGGCAGCCCTCAGCGGACGCCACCATCGCCGCTGCCACTGCCGCCGCCGCCCTGACCGACCACCACGACAGCCTTGTCCACCACAACCGCCACCAGCGACCGCGACCCGCACCACGACCCCCAGAATCCTTGCGACCACCACGACCGCCGTCAACATGACCACACCCACCACAAGCTCGACCGCCACCGGAACGACCACCACCCGCACGACCACGACCAGAACCACCACGACCACCACGATCACCACGACCGCCGCGTGGGCGACGACGGCCAGCGCCACGATCACCAGCGCCACAACCACGACCAAGACCAGCGCCAGCACGACAACCACCGCGACCACGGCCGACAGGGACCACGACCACGACCCCTCTCAGCACGACAGCGCCGCGACCACGACGACGACCACCACCACCGACCCGACCCGACCGCCCACGCCCCCGACCGCCCCTCCCCTCTCCTTTCCCCGCCTCTGCCGGGCCGCCCCTGCTGCCGCGCGAACCTTGCGCTTCCCTCCACCTTCCACGGATATTCGCTTAAGGCGGCATCCGTGCGGTCGGCCGCGGTGGGGGTTTCGGCACCGTCCTCCGCGGCGTGCTGTGTCCTTCCGGGCATCAAGTTGGGGGCGGGTGCCTCGGACCTCGCTTCCCTTCTCTGGGGAGGGAGGGAGGGAGGGAGGGAGGGAGGGAGGGAGGGAGGGAGGGAGGGAGGAGGAGGAGGAGGAGGAGGTGGTGGCGGAGGTGTAGGAGGAGGAAAAGGATGACGGGCGTTAGCTCCAACGCCGGCGGGCAGTGGCAGCAGTCTCTGGTGTGGTCCAGCGGGACGGCCAATGTGAATGTGTAGCCCAACGGCGCACCCCATCAGTCGTACTTGCGGTGGGCCTGGGCGTGGAGCTGGAGGTGGGAGGGGCGACGAGGACGGGGGAGACGATGTGGAGGACGGCGAGGCCCGCGTGTGAAGCAGGGGGGACGACGAGGATGGAGAGAAGTGGCAGGACGGGGTAGAGGAGGAGGTCGGGCATCAGCTACAACGCTGGTGCAGGCGGTGGTAGCAGCAGGCCTTGGCGTGTTCTCGTGAGACGTGCGATTGGAATGTGGAGCCCGACGTTACCAGCTACAGTGTTCGAAATTCGCGCGTGCGGGAAGGGAGAACAGTGGCAGCAGGCTCGGCGCTGCTCCGTGCAATGTGGGAGGTCCGGCTGGACCCGACGTTCTTGGTTCCAGTATTGGGATCAGCGCGTCCTAGGGGCGCGGGCAGTGGCAGCATGCCTTGGTGTGATTCAGTGGTACGCGGGATACGTGTGCGGAGCCCACCGTCGCCAGTTACAATGCTTCAGCTCCTAAGCGTGCGTGGGGTGAGCAGTGGCAGCAGGCTTTGGCGCTGCTCCGTGAGATGTGGCATGTCACATCGTAACCAGAGGTTGTCAGCTACAGTGTGGGATCAGCGTGTCCGAAAACCGCAGGCAGTGGCAGTGGGCTCCATCAGTGCGGTCTGGCGAGACGTGAGACTCGAGTATGGAGCCCAAGATCACCAGCGACAGTGCTTACATCCATGCTCGTGGTAAGGGGCAGCGAGAGTAGGAGCTTGCACTGCTCAGCGAGTTGTGGGATGCCAACTTGGACCCAGATGCCGTCAGCTGCAGCGTTGGGATCAGAGCCGGTGCGATATGTGGGCGGTGGCAGTGGGCTTTGGTACTATTCAGCGAGACTCGGGAGGCCGAGCGGGAGCCGTATGTGATCGGTCCCTTTGCCAGGGTCCGTGCGTGCGAGAATGGCGGGCAAGGGCAACGGGCTTTGGCGCTGATTGGTGAGCTGTGAGCCGGGGCCTCTAGGGCGCGTGCGCCGTTGGCGCCCGGCTGCGGCTCGCGCGCATGGGAGGCGCGCGGGGGCTCAACGCCCCCACGGAGACCGAACCGAACCGAACCGAACCGAGGAGGAGGAGGAGGAGGAGGAGAAGGGGTCCCCTCCGAGGGCGGGCGGCGGGGGCGGGGAGAGGAGCTCGGCTCTACACACAGGGGTGGCCACGGGCAAGAATGGCCCCTGGTGCGCGGCGCGGCGATCGCCTCACACGGTTCGACGGTGGCACCCCGCGAGGCGAGCGCGGGAGAGGGGGGCCACCAGCTGCAGGTCGACGCACACCAACTTGCAGACGAAAGCAATGACGCGCACGCACCATGCTACCACCTCGCTCGGCGGCGGAGCTCCGTGGTTTCCCCTGGGATCGCCCGAGGGCAGGCGGGCCGCCGCCTTCCCCCCGGGAGGGGGGGGGGCGGCGGACGCCTGCGCTCCGCGGGCACGGCCACCGCGAGGCCCCTGGTGCGCCGGGCGGGCACGCCACGCTCCCCCGCGCCGCCGGCTCTGCCCCGGCGACCCTGGCCGCCGTGCCCGCGGGCTGCTGCTGGGCGTCCTCGGCGTGCTCCCAGCACCGCGCACCCCTGAGATCCGACGCTGCCGGAAAAAAGGCAGCATCGCAGGGAATCACGGCCGGAGCCCTGGACCCCAGCTTTCGGCGTCATTCTTCGGGCCCGCTCGACAGGTGAGGGCCCCGGGGCCCGGGGAAAGGCAAGATCGCCCGGCTCGACAAACTGGAGTCGCCAGGATCTCGGGGTCCCCGCACCGCGCAGATCGCCGCCCGCGACCTCGCACTGCCTACCCAAAGATCCGATGTCGTGACTTTTTCACTACGGGGTCCCAGGAGGTCCCGACCCTTTCCCCAGGGCCGGTTTTCATCCTGAGCCGTTTTTTGACGGTCCCGAGGCCCGACGAGGGCCTCTGGAGGCCGAAGATGGCGAAAAACCTCCGCCCTGAATTTCTTTACGACGCGATCATGTCTGGGCGGAGCGCGCGGGCCGAGGAGCTTGCGCGCCGCGGCTCTCGGGAGGAGGGCACGCGGCTGGAGCGCGCGGCGCGCCCGCGCCACGGCGCGCGCAGCGAGGGGGGGGGGAGCGCGGGTCGAGGGTCAGGACGGGCATGCAGGGAATGTTTTGGACGAGAGAGATCAGAGATGCCCCAACAGTGCCCCGAAAATGCTCAGACATGTACTAAAGAATCAGTCCCCAGACTACTTCTTGGCTACTCTTGAATATTCCCCCTTTAGAGGGACAGGCCCGACTTCAGGCGAGAGGGGGGAGGCCCATCCGAGAAGGCAAGGCGCTTCTCCTGAGATCCGGGCGTTGCCAATCGGGTTCGGGCGGGCTTCGGGCCCCCTGGACCATCACGGATCGATCCGCCTCGAAGCGTGAAGCAGAAAGATGGGGGTACAAGGTTCTGCTCGCGATGTTTCGCGATATTGCAAGCTGTGCACGGCGTCCGATCCAGGGTCTTCGAGGGGACCAAAGGCTTCTGAGGAGCCCCCCGCCTTCTTAGAAGGCCCACCCGCTTGCGGGTGCTGCAAAACACCCCGCAGAGTTCGAAGGCTGCGCCCTCCTGTCCGAAGTGAACGACGTTCCCTGGCAGCGGACCTTGTAGTGCACCCGTGGGTGGTCGAACTCGTCTCCCTGGCAGCGGACCTTGTAGTGCACCCGTGGGTGGTCGAACTCGTCATCGGTATCGTACGCCGCCTGAGGTTCAGGTGGGGAAACGACGGGGGAGACATAGGGATATTTATATATATATAGAGAGAGAGGGAGAGAGAGAGAGAGAGAGGGTCATCGAACTCTCCCTCACCCCCTCAGCCCCTCTCCTCTCATCGAACCCCTTCACTCTCCTCGACTCACTCCCTACTCCCATCGGCCTCTTCTACACTCCCAAAACCTCTTCCCCTCCCATCCACTCCCTCCCCACCCATTGTCCGCTCCCATCCCCCCGCATCCATTTACATCCCAATACATCCCCTCATCCCCCATTTACCCGCACCTCGGCCAATTGGTGGCCCGTCATACCAAAGAGGATACAAGAGGACGTGCCCAAATGCCTTCGGCTATTTTGGCCTGCCTAGCGACCAATTGGATGGCCAATCCCTCCTGTTTCCCGTTCTCCGCCACCGAGCCAAAAGCCTCTCGATGTCCAGAAAAGATCAGCATTGATGAAAGACTTCTATCCCCTATCCTCGATGCTTATCCCCCTCCCACTCTCGGAGAAAGGCCACTTGCGACAACGGCGGCTCTCCCGCAATGCCCACATCCGCTTCAAATCTGTCCCAAAACCTCCCCCATGATCCATCCCGAACCGTTTTTAGAAGCCGCCCGCCCCATGCCCCCAGCTTGTGGCAGGTTCATTAACTCGTCGCTGCCGTTGTCGTCGTGGTGGTGGTCGTCGTCGTCGGCCTTCTGGGTCGGCGGCACCAGCCGTAGGGCCTTCACAATCTGTCCCAGGACCTCTCCCATGAGTATAACCGATCCCCATCCCCAGCGGCGTGGCCTGGGCCCCACTGGCCGATTTAAACCCCTAGATGGGGATATAGGTCGTTCTCTTCGGGTTTCTAGGGGTATATCCCCAACTGGAGTGGTCATTTGGTGGGGGTCTCGAAGGCGATGGAGATGGGGATGGGATCGGATAAACGATACCGGTCCCAGGATAAATCCTGACCCGCCTTAGAAGCAGATCCAGCCGAGGCGACGAGACGCCCGGCTTTCGAGAGCCTCCGCCCGAGCCCTTCGCGGAGCTCTGCGCGTGCCTTTCCCTGGCCCCCCTCCCTTCCCTTTTCTCTCCCTCCGGGACGGTGCGCTCGCAGGGCTAACAATTCTCGCTCCTCGCTCGTCCTCCTCCTCCTTCCTCCTCCTCCGCGGGGAGGGGCAGGAGTGAGGAGGGGCAGGGGACCTCCCCCTCCGCCTCCTCATCCTTCGCCTCCTCCTCCTCATCATCATCGTCCTGTCCTCCTCCTCCTCGCCCCATCCTCTTCCAGTGCCGTGGTGGGGGCCGCTGCAGGCCGATGGCGACGAGCCAGTCGGGCACACCCCTGCGCACAGGGCTCAATGCTTTGAGGCCCCCGTTCGGTGCGGGCCAGCCTGGGTTCGTCATGCCTCGATATGCCAGCACAGTACCCCATGGCGAGCTGGACGCCTGGGTTCACGCAGGCCGAGAGTACCCCCCAGTGGGGCGCAGGCCTGCGACGTGCCTTCTGGCAGTTCGCTTCCTCAGGTGCAGAGGCAATGAAAGGTCCAGCCACACCAGTTCGGCGACTCCGAAGGGTGTGGTTTGCCAAAGGTGTGGTTACAACCGGCACCCTGGGGGGCACCATGTGGGGCGGGCGGGGACCTCGATCGAGTTCTCCGCCGCGCCCCGAGGAGGCCCGACGATGACAGTGTCGTGCCCCCAGGACCCAAAGGCGCCGATCGCAAACTACACCCCGGCGTAACCACACCCTTTGTAGTCGCCGACCAGTACTGGAGCGTCTTCGGCGCGCAGGTCAGGCGTGTGAGTTTTTGCTCCGCCATCCCCCCGCCCACCCCGCATGGCGTAATCTTCGTCATCGCCGTCAACGCCATCACCACTCTCACCATCGTCAGCATGTTCGTCAACGCCGTCGTCGTCGTCAGCGACATCATTATCACCGTCACCACCGTCGACTCTAGAGAAATGGCAAAAACTGTGTAATAAACATGAGCTATTGGAGGTCCACGCGGACTTTCTGGATCTGCGCTGGACCCCTCTCCCTGGCGCGCGGACCGCGCATAGGCTGGCGCTGGAGGCGCCAGCAAGCGGGCCCCAGGGCCCCAAGGCAGATCCGAGAAACCCGCGCGGAGCCTCCAAAGTTTCTGTGCATGCCGGCGTTATTTTTCCCTCTCCTTCCAGCACTCGTCCTCCCGTCTGCCAGCGCAGGCCACCGTCACCTCACGAGGGAAGCGGCGTTGGGGTCTCCAGCTGCGGCCTCGTCCTCGCTGTCCCCGTCCAGCTGCGGCGGGTCCTCCTGCCACGCAGGCAGCGACTCGAGCGTGGGCAGCGTCCCCCGGGTGCCGTCGTCACCTGCTCCGGGGCAGCAGAGACAGCCATGGGAAGGCGGAAGAAGGGCGAGGACCACTTTCTGTTGGCAGCGCCCGCGGGCGCGAGCGCGACTGCAGAACCCGCGGGACGCGCCAGGAACGGCGACGACAACAGGCCTCGCCCACTTGCAGCGGAAAGCCCGCGGCAGACCACGACTGCGGACGTTTGCGCCGACGCGCACATGGGACCCCCCCTCTCTCCGTGTACCCCCCGTTTCCCCCGTGACCCCTCGCCCCCGCCCTGCCTCTCCCACCCGTCGGACTGCGGGTAACCACGGCCTCGGGCGCCCCCAAGCGCACCCCAGAGAGCTCCGCAATTCGCTCTGCCCGCGGCTGGGGCGGGGGCTGCCGCGGAGAGACCGGGGGGGCGGAGGGTTTCCAGGAAGTCCCCAGAAGCTCAGGGCCCGAGGAGGCCCCCCCGGAGCTTCCACCGACCATGAGCACTGCCTTCCGTTGCCGCCCGTCCGTCCCTTTCCAGCCCGTTTTCCCCACCCGCCCCTTCCCAGCCCCTTTTCCCCACCATCGGTCAACCCATGCCCATGCCCACGGGAAAACCGTGGCCCCGCTCTCCGACCGACCCACCATCGAGCGGGTGCAAACGCGCGCGTACGGACGCCTCTTCCGTCAGGCGCATCTGCACCCTCCTCGAGGGGGCAGGCGGGTGGCATTGACGAACGCGGTCCCGCTGGGGGTGGGGACCCTGCCCAGTTGACACCACGAGGAAAGCTAAGCGAAGAACGAAACCTATTTTTACTGCCCAAAAAGCACCTGGATGCACGAAGAGCGTTGGGGGAGCAACCGAAGGACCCACGGAAAAGGGAGTGCTTTCCGAACCCGACGCGTTCTGTATATCAGCGTCCTGGCAGCCAACCTGACGATGCTGATTTCCCCCACCCCTTCGAAGACATTGGCGGCATCCACAAGGGGAGGGCATGGGGGGGTGGGCGTCTAGGAAAGCCGCAGGGTTTCTCAAAGGCCGAAGAGCCCATTAGAAGCCGGGCGGTTTTCCAAGAAGTGGCGTGCGAAGCCCGCGGTGCCTTCTAAGAAGGCTCCTGCTTTTCTAAAAACCCTCTCCGCCTTCTTGGACCCCCGACCACACAGGGGCCTCCATCCGGCCAGCGCCCCGCCCGCCCCACCCACCCCGCCCTTCGGCGCGGGCTGCCCACGGTCCCCCCGGACACCTGGGACCCGGGCTCCCGGGACCCCGGCTGGCAAGCACGAGTCATCTTCGCCAGCGGTCCTATGCGCCCGGTCGTCTTCGCCAGGGCCGTTTGCGCCGGGGTCGTTTTCGGCGGCGGTTGTTTTCGCCGCCGCCGACTTCGCCGGGGGCGCTTGCGCTGGCGGCCGCCATCCGCCTCCCCATCGCGCTTGCCCCCGTTTGCCCTCCCCCATCCATCCGTCTCCTGGCAGGGCAAGCAAACTACGCAAAGGCTAGAGAGCAGCTGATTCCGCAATCGCGACTGCAAGGGCAACCCTGCACACTTTGGTTCTCAGGCGAACTCTTCCTCTGGCGACTGGAACTCCGAATCCTCCCCGTTTCCGTTTTCGTCCCCGCACCCCTCCCCCTCAGCTCGCCCATCCCGCCTCTCCTCCCCCTCGGTTTCCTCCCCGTAACTTCTCCCGACCTTGCAATGAAAATGGTTGTTGCTGCACCACCTGCAGAAGCCCTCTCCTGCAAAAACGCCAAGCCCCCGGTATCATTCGACCCGTAACGTTGCACGCATCTGCGAGGAAGTCCACAGGGACAAGGAGTTGTTTTGGGGGAGGAGACGGAGTGGGCATCACCAAAACACAACACCACTGTGAAGCATGCCTGAGAACATTGCCAATGCTGGCCAGATATGAATCGCGACCTGGCACAAACTGACATCGCCAAGCAACTGCGTGCAAGGCCGTAGTGAAAAGGGAGAGCAGTTCGAAACCCCAGCGTCAGCGTTGGCGCAGCTGCCTGTCGAGGAGCACGAAGGGGTTGGAGGAGAGCAACAGCAGGAGGAAAGGAAGAGAGGACGAGGGAAACAGGACACCTAGAACTCAGACTGATATGAGCTCCCCGCGTCTGTATATCACACCTGCGAGTAACAGACAAAAGACGGGCCCAGCAAGTAGGAGGGAGAGCCGGCGAGGAAAAACACAAGGTGGAGCGGCAGCGACTAAGAGTAATACATCAAATGAATGCAGCCTGACCAAAGCCCAGAGCGGACCAGCGGAGTCTCGAAGGCGCCGCGGCGGACGGGCGGACCATAGGAGGCACAGCCGAAGGGCTGGCGACAACAAATCAATCGTGTCACGCCCACACGAGCAACGAAACGGAGCTGTCGAGATCGGCTGTACTCTCGGGCGAAACTCCTCAAGATGCTTGCCAGCACGGCAGCTACTGAAGGGGCCCAGGGCCACACAAACAAATAGACACACGTAACAGGATCCCCCATACTTCCCATATGTTTCAAGTTTTCGTCGATCCCCACACTTCCCACATGTTCCTGGGAGCCGACGATTAATTTTGTCTGTGTGTTTCTTTCCCTCCTGAGCTACCTCCGACCATATGAAAATCCTTCTGTGCAACAGCGAGCGTATTCAGGTGCGCCGATGATCGATGTCATGGAAGAGGCTCCCGGGCGAATGCGTGTAATGCCCGCCCCTGGGCTATTCGCCCCTACCGTCGCAGCCGAAAGAAGTTTAAATGGCGCTGCGCTCCAGCATTCGTGCTGTGCCCAGTGAAAAATTAGCCTGGCGAAGGCCCCAACCATATGCAGCTGTGAGTACCGTCTTTGTGAGCAACGCATTCGGTGGGGTTCCTTATGGGGCTACGAAATGCTGCCCTGGGTGGGGGGACCGCATGCGGGCACCCCCACTGGGGCCTACGGTGCAGCTCCCTATGGGGTCACGAAACGCTGCCCTGGGCAAGGGAACCGCACGCGAGAGCAACCACTGGGGCCTACCGTGGAGCCCCCTTATGGGGCCACGAAACGCTGCCCTGGGTGCGGGAACCGCATGCGAGAGCAGCCACTGGGACCTACGGTGGAGCTCCTTATGAGGCCACGAAGCGCTGCCCTGGGTAGGGGAACCGCATGCGGACACCCCCACTGGGGCCTTCGGTGGGGCTCCCTATGGGGCCACGAAACGCTGTCCTGGGTGGGGGGACCGCATGCGGGCACCCCCACTGGGGCCTTCGGTGGGGCTCCCTATAAGGCCACGAAGCGCTGCCCTGGGTGGGGGAACAGCATGCGAGAGCAGCCACGGAAGCTTTCGGTGGGGCTCCCTATGGTGCGGGTGGGTAAACCGCATGCGAGAGCAGCCACTGGGGCCTTCGGTGGGGCTCCCTATGGGGCCACGAAGCGCTGCCCTGGGTGGGGGAACCGCATGCGAGAGCAGCCGCTGGGGCCTTCGGTGGAGCACCCTATGGGGCCACGAAACGCTGCCCTGGGCGGGGGAACCGCATGCGAGAGCAGCCGCTGGGGCCTTCGGTAGAGTTCCCTATGGGGCCGCGAAGCGCTGCCCTGGGTGGGGGAACCGCATGCGAAAACAGCCACTAAGGCCTTCGGTGGAGTTCCCCATGGGGCCACGAAACGCTGCCCTGGGTAGGGGAACCGCATGCGAGAGCAGCCACTGGGGACTACGGTGGAGCTCCGTATGGGGCCACGAAACGCTGCCCTGGGTGGGGGAACCGCATGCGAGAGCAGCCGCTGGGGCCTTCGGTGGAGCTCCCTATGGGGCTACGAAGCGCTGCCCTGGGTTGGGGAACCGCATGCGAGAGCAGCCACTGAGGCCTTCGGTGGAGCTCCCTATGGGGCCACGAAACGCTGGTGGGGGAACCCGAGAGCAGCCACTGGGGCCTTCGGTGGAACGAAGCGCTGCCCTGGGTGGGGGACCGCATGCGAGAGCAGCCACTGGGGCCTTCGGTGGGGTTCCCTATGGGGCCACGAAACGCTGCCCTGGGTGGGGGAACCGCATGCGAGAGCAACCACCGGGGCCTTCGGTGGAGCACCCAATGAGGCCACGAAGCGCTGCCAGGTGTAGGGGAATCGCATGCGAGAGCAGCCACTGGGGCCCTCGGTGGAGCACCCTATGTGGCCACGAAGCGCTGCCCTGGGTGGGGGAACCGCATGCGAGAACAGCCACTGGGGCCTACGGTGGAGCTCCCTATGGGGCCACGAAACGCTGTCCTGGGTGGGGGAATCGCATGCGAAAGCAGCCACTGGGGCCTACGGTGGAGCTCCCTATGGGGCCACGAAACGCTGCCCTGGGCAAGGGAACCGCACGCGAGAGCAACCACTGGGGCCTACCGTGGAGCCCCCTATGGGGCCACGAAACGCTGCCCTGGGTGCGGGAACCGCATGCGAGAGCAGCCATTGGGGCCTTCGGTGGGCCCCCCCCCTGGGGCCACGAAGCGCTGCCCTGAGCGGGGGAACCGCATGCGAGAGCATCACTGGGACCTTCGGTGGAGCACCCTAGGAGGCCACGAAACGCTGCCCTGGGTTGGGGAACCGCATGCGAGAGCAGCCCTCGGGGCTCCGGTGGGGCTCCCCATGGGGCCACGAAGCGCTGGGCGGGGGAACTGCATGCGAGAGCAGCCACTGGGGCCTTCGGTGGAGCTCCCTATGGGGCTACGAGGGCAAAGGCAAAGGCAAGGTGTGCCGAGAGCAAAGGCAAGGAGGGGGAGGGAGGGGAGGGACGGAAAAGGGAGGACGGAAAAGGGAGGACGGAAAAGGGAGGAGGGGGAGGAGGAAGGAAGGAAGGAGGAGACGCGTGGCGCTGTCAATTCAAAACGATGACCCAACACCACAGGACGGTTGGGAATTACCCTGGCGAAGAACCCAACCATAAGCAACGCGTTGTGGGTGCCTCTTTCAATGAGGCATCCTATGGGGCCACGAAGCGTTGCCTTGGGCGGGGGAGCCGCATGCGAACTGCGCCACTGGGGCTGGCCTTCGGTAGAGTTCCCTATGAGGCCACGAAACGCTGCCCTGGGCGGGGGAACCGCAT